CTCCCACTGTCAGTGGAGGTGGATCCCTGGAGGTCAACAGTGTCACCCTGTGAGAACCCCCCATTCCTACTAGAAAGACTTCCCACTAGGAGGAGGGCTGCTAGGAGTGGGGAATTCTCACAGCATCTCCTGGCCCCATCTGAACACACACCTGAAAAACGGTAAGATCGGTGGTTCACATTTGTACAGCTCCCTGCACAGGTGTGACTTTTTCATGTATTGTTGCATTTAGTCCTCCTGATAGCCAGAGAAATTGGGGCAGAGGTGGAGTGCCCAAGGGTACCCGCTAGTCCAAGGGCAGAATCAGGAAGCCCAGGCTTGACCTGTTGTTCAGGGCTCTTTCTACTGCTCCCCACAGCGCCCCACTGCCAACCTTCTCTAACTCCTCTAGAGAAGTTAGATGCCTCTAACTTCCGTCCTGAGCTCTCTCCTACAGAGCCCCAGGCTCCGCGGCATGCCTAGGCTCAGCCCGTGCCAGGCTCCCTGTTCCCTATCAGGCCGAATCGGACCCTTCAGCCCTGCATCCAAGGTCCCTTGTGTCCCCCTCATCAAGCTTGCTCTTCCTCCCCCATGCTCTGTAAATCCTCCCCTTTCCCACCCCACCTCTCACCTACACACACTCGCACACACACACACATTCACTACAGCACAGGGATATTTACTAGGCAAGACTATTCACTGAGTCTCAGTCTCCTTGTCTGTAAAATGGGGGTGTTGATAGTATTACCTCAGAGGGCTGCTGGGATGCTGAAATAGACGATACAGGTAAGGCATCCTACACGAAGTTCTGGGCCACCTTCATGCGACCTGCAGGCATTACTTGTTGCACTTCTCAGCACCTCTCCAGGTCCTCCCAACCCCATCCCCAAGAAGGTTCCAACTTTGCCATTGCCAGTGGAGACCATCCCTTATCTGACTTCTAGCAACACTTAGATATATAAGAAAACCCAAATAGTTTCTGGGGTGTGGACAGAGAAGAGGAGGAGGTCTGGTGGGTGCGACCTTGATCCCCTTCACCCCGACTCAACCCAAACACCTCTGCTTGAATGCTCTTTACACACTAGGGTGCTACCTTAAGATTCTGTCTGTAAAAAGGATTCTATTGTTAAAAAAGCCTTAGGCCCGCTGGCTTAAAACACTCTTCCTGCTCCAGAAAGGAATCTGCACCCTTGGGTTCACCTGAAGTTGTCAGTCAAGGACAGGCTTGAACTTGGCCCCGTAATGAAGGTCCCTACCACTTCTAGACCTCAACCTTTTCAGACCTGGGAGTCTCAACCCCTGGCAGAAATAAGTCCTAAAGAACAAAGATTGGGGCATCTGTGGTTCCCCTCAGCACTGATCTCAGTACCCAGGGCACAGCAGGTGGTACCAGCCAGGGGAGAGAAGAGGTCACAGGCAGTTCTGGATACTGGCTGTGTATCCTTAGGTGAGTCCCCGCACCTCTCTGAGCCTCAGCTTTCTCACATGCAAAGGGCTGCTCTGGTCCCAGCAGAGGCAGGGCCTGGCACAGTCGACGCTCAGCAAACGGGAGCTCTCTCTCTGCCCACCCTTCCTCTCAATCAATACTTGCTCCATTGATGGACGAAAGTGACAATGATGAATTACAGAAGATCCCGGAGCCCCGCGCCTTCTTGTGGACAGATGGGGAACATGAAGCCCAGAGCCAGGCATGGACTCGCCCATGTGGGACAGTGAGCAAGTCAGGGCAGAGCGGGATGTCTTCTGGGCAGTGTTACCGGGAAGAGATGTGGGGGCTTGGGGGGGGGCGGTGAGTTGGAAGGAAGCTGCTGAGGGTGGAGTGAAGGGAGCAGGTGGGAGAGAGGGCGGGAGGAGGGTGGGGAACCACAGCCTGCCCCCCTCCCTCACCTCCAGCAGGGAGGCTGACTGAGCGCCTAAGATAGCTGTGGGCTCAGAAAAGTGTCTTAGTCACTAAAGGCTGCGCTGGGAAAAGGCCCTCCTTCCGGTCATACTCATGTCCTGGAATCCGGATGGGGCAGGAAGGCCACTGGGTGACCCTCAGAGTGGCCACCTGTCCTCTCTGCAGTGGACTGTCTCCTCTGCCTTCTTCACTTTCCCAAGTGTGGGTGAACACGCGCGTGCACACACACATACACACACAAAGCTTTCCTTACATCCTCCCAGAACCATCATCCCCATCCCTCCACTCCTTAGGAAAAGTTCCATGATTCTCCACTTTATTTATCAATATTATTATTTGTCCTTGCCACACTGTGTGTGGGATCTCACTTCCCCAACCAGGGACTGAACCGGGCCATGACAGTAAAAGTCCAAAATCCTAACCACTAGGCCACCAGGAAACTCTCACATGACTCTGCACTTTAAAAAGCTGTGGGCCTGTCCCACTACACGTGCTTCTGCAGGAGACACAGGCCTCTGGGACCCAAGAAATTTCTTCCTGAGATCTAACTTCCATCCCTCTAGCTACACTCACAGTCTCTTTCTTCCTCTTGCTGCCTCTGAGAGGCTCATCTGGAGCTGGAGCTGGGAGAGGATGGGAGACCCTCTCCCGACAGTGAGGGCTCCTCACACATTGGAAGAAAGCCGTGGCATCCAGAGGTGATGCCGCACTTGATGCTCGGCGTTCCCAAAACAGACTCAATTTCAGCTCTTCTGGCTGTTGCTGAAGAAGTGAAGTGAAAGTCGCTCAGTTGTGTCCGACTCTTTGCAACCCTATGGACTATACAGTCCATGGAATTCTCCAGGCCAAAATACTGGAGTGGGTAGTCTTTTCCCTTCTCCAGGGGATCTTCCCAACCCAGGGATCAAACCCAGGCCTCCCACGTTGCAGGTGGATTCTTTACCAGCTGAGCCTCAAGGGAAGCGCACAGAGGAAGGGGTGTTGATGAGTGTGTGTTCAAGTGCCACTTCTGCCACAGAAGAAGAGCCTCAAAAAGACCCCAGGAAACCCCTAGATCCCTTCCAACTGCTTTCCTTCCCACCATTCAAGTCCCCAGACCTTAGTCTTACCCCCAGGGCCCCTGATTGGGGAAGCACAGTCAAGAGGTCCCCTAGCGACTGCAAAAGTAGTGCTGCATATCTAAGGGATGCTAGCTTCAGCTCATGGAGAGAGGAGGGGTTAACCCAGCTTTAGCAGTGCAGCCATAGCTGGGCCCTGGGGTCCAGAAACCTTCCCCAGCTACCAAGGAGGAAGAGGCATAACCTGCCCCTGGGGCACCAGGCTCTGGCCCCAGGTGTACCTGGAGCCAGGGACAGCCAGAGAGATTCAGGTTAGACCCCAAGGCAGCCCCTGTCTTTCAGAGGGAAAAGGGTCACTGTTGGGGAAGGGCTGCAAGCCGACTGCCAAGCCCAGTCAGGGACCCCAGGCCCCTGCAGCCCCCTCCTTGCCCGCCAGCAGCTCTGCCTCTCTCCCTCTCTCTCCTTCCCCCACTGGCGCTCAGCAGATCAATGCTGCCTCTGCTGACAGCTGAGAATCGAGCTCTCCTTCCCGCCCCCTGCGCCGCCCCTCCCGCTCCGCTCCGTCCCCCGAGATCCTCCCGGAGGAACCGGGAAGAGTCTGCTGCGGAAGCGCTTCACCCTGGGGCAGGGCCTGCGGAGGGAGCGGCTGGTGGGGCCCAAGCTTTGGCCGGGGGAAGAGGGGAGGAGGATGGGGAAGCACAAACGACCACCGTGGGCGGGACCAAGGGAGCAAACGGGAATGAAAGGGCCTCCCCCAAAGCTAGAGAGAGTAGGTCAGGCACCAAGAACTTTCCAGCGGGGAAAAGTCTCGCCGTTTTGGGGTGGGATTCTGTGAACCTCTGCGGCGGGGTGGGGGTGGGGGTGGGGGTGGGGGTGGGGGAACCGTCTGGCCTCCGTGCTGGTTCAGAGCTCACCTCCCAGCACCCGTGTGCCCTGAACCGTGCTCTGACTCGGAGGCGAGGCAAGGTTGCGCTTCAGACCGGCTTGGCGCGGAGCAGGCCCCTCTGATCCGAGGAGACGGTGGGGGCAGCGTGGCCTAAGCGGGGCTCTTCCCGCATCCTAAAGAAGGGAAGGACAGAGGTGCGGTTGGTGGGAGGGCAAGCAGACACACCTGAGCCCCACAATGCTACACGCGCAGGCCGTTCAGGCAGGAGCGCACCCCGCCACACACTGCGCGGGCACACTTAACGCATCTCGCACCACGTGCACGGGGCACAAGCCGACGGGGCACACCTCGGGGCCACCGCCACCCTCAGCGGGCGGGCCCCTGCACACCCATCCACCGAGTGCCCCCGCCCCGCCCCTCCTGACTCAGCCCCACCACCTCGCGGAGCCACAGCCACCCACTCGACACACAGCGGGCCGGTCTGCACCCACTCGCTCCTAAGCTCCGCGGGACGCGCGTCCCCTCCGCCGCCGGGCAGCGACTCCTCGCTCCGGCGACCACACCGGAGGCGTCCCGCCTGCCCCCAGCCCAGCCTTCGGGTCTACGCCGCCCCGCGAAGCCCGGCGCGCGGCTCGCACCCGCAGGCCGCCGGGCCCAGGCGCTGCCCCCGGGGACCGCCGCCACTCGGTCCGGCCCCCGCCCCGACTCGGCGGCCTGCGCGGCGGGGGCGTCCTCCCGCCGCCTCCCCGCGCGTCCCCTCCCTCCGCCCGGCCTCGCCGGCTCGCTCGCTCCCTCCCGATTTGGGAAGGCGGCCTCGGGGCGGGCGGGGGCGGCGGGGGTGGGGCGGGGCGGGGGAGGCTGACATGTGAGCGGCGCGCCGGCGGCAGGTGGAAAGGCGAGCGGCATGGAGCGCGTAATAAGAGAGTTGGAGTCGGAAAGAGCCGCCCCAGTCGCCGGGGAAGCGGGCGGTCAGCGCGGGCTCCGTCGGCCCCCCGACTCCGAGCGCCCGCCCCCGGCCCCGGAGCGGCCCCGGCCCGACCCCTAACCCCCGCCGACCGCGCCCGCCCCGGGCCGCCCCGCCGGCCCCGGGTCCGAGCCATGCGCCGCTGAGCGCCCCGCGCGCGCCCCCGCCCCGGATCGGACCCGGGCCCCGGGCCCCTCCCGCCCGGCGCCGCCCATGGCCGAGGCCCCCCCGCACCGGCTCGGCCTGGTCCCCCAGCCCGGGGACGCCCCCCGCGCCGAGCTGGTGGCGCTCACGGCGGTTCAGAGCGAGCGGGGCGAGGCGGGCGGGGGCGGCTCCCCGCGTCGCTTGGGCCTCCTGGGCAGCCCCCTGCCGCCGGGCGCACCCCTCCCAGGACCAGGCTCGGGCTCGGGCTCCGCCTGTGGCCAGCGCTCCTCCGCCGCGCACAAGCGCTACCGCCGCCTGCAGAACTGGGTCTACAACGTGCTGGAGAGACCCCGCGGCTGGGCCTTCGTCTACCACGTCTTCATGTGAGTTTGCGACCCCGAGTCCCCGGCCGCGCCCTCGCGCTGCCGCCCCGCGGGGCCCCTGCTGGAGCCTGGGCCCCGGGGGGACGGCCGCCCCGCCCTGGCTCCGCCTCCTGCCCCCCAGCCCCGAGGCCGGCAGACCCTCATCGCTCTGCCCCCAGACCTGAGCCCGATTTCTGATCCCTCTCAGCCTGACCCTAATCCCCGCTCTCCAAGTCCTGACCCTTGCCTGACCTGGCTTCTGACCTCCCCCATCTCAATTCCTTATTTCCATCCTTTCTCCAACCCCTGCCCCTCTGTTCCAGGTACTCCCCACGTCCTGCTTCTTGTCCCCCGTCTCTCTCCAATCTGGAGTCACTGAAGTGTGGCTCCCTTTTCTCTCTTCCTCACTTCTGTCTCCCTGTGTCCCAGACACAGAGGACCCTTTCGCCCTCCCACACCGTCACCCTCTCCACAGCTCTGTAGCTGCAGTAGGTTCCCACCTGGGCTCCCCCCAGAGATGTCCCTCTCCAGGAACAACCTCCACCCCAGCCCAGGACTGGCCAGCCCAGGACTGGCCCCCAATTATAGGTGTTTGGGAGTCCCCTTGAGTCACCAGAGTTCTGACACTGGCGTGTGCTGACTTCTGTGAGTCTTCACACAGTCTTCCCTTCCACCCTCAACTTCCCCATGGCAGCAGTGAGCCATGCCGCCCGCCCTGCGGGCTCGGCCAGCTAGCCTGCCCAGCTCCCTGGCCGCACCAGGGAGCACCAGGCCTGGCTCTGCGCACCCCCAGGGGAAAAGAAAGAGGAGAAGGGTAGGTTTGGAAACACTCAGGCTGCGGGCCCCCTCCTCCCCCTCACCAGGCTCTTACAACTTTCAAAAACACTGACCCTTCTTGGATGTAAAGAGTGAATTTTGGCAGCTCAGAGCTCTGTCTTGGGGGACGGCCTGGCCCAGCCGGGAACATGAGAGGCCCGGCAGATATCAGTTGAAAGACTGGGCCTGGAGCTCGGACGCCCGAAGGTGCCCGAGAGAGAGATCTCTGGTCCCTGGAAACTGTGCTGATATGAATCCCTTATTGCTGCCCCCAGAGAGGGCTTTCTGGTCTTAGGGTCTCCTGGGTGGTCCCCTTGCCTGTCCATTGGACTGTCTTATAGTCCTTTTGCCTGTCTGACTGTCCTTCTGCCAGAGTGGGTTTTTGTCTGTGTGTGAGTTGTCCTGTGTCTTCATCTCTTCTGCTAGTCTGTTTTCACCCCTCTGTTGACCTGTCCGGTTATCTGTGTGCCTGTCTGTCCATCTGCCTCTCCTCCGCCCGACTCCCACTCTTCTATTTGCCTGTTTCCACCTGTCTTTGGTCTGTCTTTCTGCCTGACCCGCTGCTGCCCGCTTGCCTGCCCACAGAATTTCCAAGGGGAGGGGAGGAAATGCTGGCAAAGGAGCCCCCTGACCACTCGAAGGACAGAAGAAGGGAGCTCTTTCAGCCTGCTCGTTCCCTTTTTTGCACCTCGGTGCCAGCCTGCAGGGGATGACAGCCACGACTTGGGGCAGGGACCTCAGGTGGGCCAGGTGGGGGTGGGGCAGAGAGTTGAGATTGCTCTAGACATGAGGTCAGACTTAGGGTCAGGGCCAGTGGTTAGGAGCAGCCCAATCCCCAGTGCCCATTGGGAGGGCCTGGGTGAATTTTCCGCTGCAGAGAGGGCTGTTGGAGTGCTGCGGATTCTGTGTTGGGGTAGCAGGGACAGTGGCATCAGGCATGAGGGGCAGGGGACTGCTAATTAAGAGCCACTGCGTTGAGATGCCCTTGCCCACCCTACAGCTTAGGTGCTCGTGCAGCCTGAGACACTCCGCGGGCTCCGCTTGGGACATGACTTTTCCAAGGCAAGGCTGGGCCTGGGAAAGCACTAGGGCCCTGCGGTGGGGGTCCTTAGTCCCCAGGCCCGGCCTCTCAGCCCCTGTAAGGGTCACTGGGGGTGAAAGACCCGTCTCGTGTCCTCTGGCCAACACTGTCTTCCCCTCCTCTGGAGGGGCCACTTCTTCCTCTCCAGGAGCTAAATCTGCTGGTACCTTTGCCCCACATCCTGCCCTTTCTGGATGCCAGGAATGCCCTGGCCAGGGCCAGGCTGGTTCTGACCACTTGTCCCCAGGAGCCCAAGGCAGAGGCATCTCTTGGGAACTCTGGGAGACAAAACGGGGCATGAAAATGTCCAGATGTTTGGGGGTCTCAGGGAACTGGTCGTTTCTCTTAGAGGTCAGGGAGGACTGAGGGGTCAGGAGCCCCACCTTTTGTGTGCTGTGCAGTCTTGGGCTAATCGCCACAGCTCTCTGAGCTTTAGATCTCTGGGCCATCAGAGTGGGGAGAAACTCCAGCCTTGTGGGCCTCCGTCTTGGATGAACAATGGGTGGGAAGGACTTTGGTGAGCTGCGGGAGCCTGTGAGAGCGTGAGGGATGGATGGTATATTGGGCTTGGGGGAGGGCGCTGCTTGGGAGGCCTCTCCTGTTCTTGAGGAGCTCCAGATGCGGGGTCACTCCTTGCAGGGTCTTGGGCAAGCCAGGAAGTGCTTCCTACCATTGGACTTCGAGCCCAATTGTTCCACTTTTGGTCAAAATCCTTCCCCCATCTCCAGTGACCCTCACAGGCAGCCCAAACAAGGGGAGCGCAGGGTGCACAGGTAGCTAGGACCCCCTTGCCCGAGATGTGGGTCCTGGTGGGAGAGGCTCCAGGAGGGAAGCCTCTGGGTGAAGGACTCAGGGAGGAGGGAATGGAGGTGAGCTGGCCCTTTCACCCCAGGGCACACCTTCCTCACACCTGCCAGCCAGGTCCCTCTGGGCCCCACCCAGAACCCACACCTTCTCTGGCCCCGAGGTGTGGGAGATTGCCCAGAGGACCAGCCCTGGTTCCGCCTTTCCCTCCAGCGCCAGCAGCTACAGCCGCTGGGAAGCGGGAACCACTGATTCTTGTCTTCTCATTGAGATCCAGGAGGATCCAGCGGGCTCTGCGAGCTCTCCCGCCTCCCTCCAGGCCCTTGGTCCTGTCACCAAGCCCCCACTCTCCTCCCCTGGGCCCCAGTCCTTGATTTCAGCCCTCAACTCTTCACAGGCCCCACTCTCTGAATTTTGAGAAACACCACATCACTGCCCATCCTGCTTCCGAGCCTTTGGAAGGGATATTTGCTCCTTGCTGCCCCTGCCAAGGGCCACGCCGCCTCCCTTTTGAAGTCAGAGGCTGGAAGGGGCAAGTCGGAGCACAGCAGCATCTCCCCTCGTCTTCCCCACACTGCTGCGCTGCTTTGGGACTCTTGCAGCTCCCAGCCCCCAGCTGCCCCGCGAGCTTTCTCTAAGTGAAGGTTTACGCTCTGTAAACATCCTCCGGCAGCCTTGTCCCTGGGGTCAGAAGCTGTGGGAATGGGGAGGGAAGGAGGCAGCGGCAGCTCCCGAAGCCCTCAGCCTCCCAGCCCCGGCGTCCCCCCACCTCCCACCCTGCCTGTCTGAGAAAGAACATGGCCAGCAAGGGGTGCCCAGAGCCCCCAGGCCTCCCTGGGAGGTGGGGCCACACATTTTGACAGCCCCATTTTGTTTATGAGAAAACCGAGGCTCTGGAGACCCATCACACAGTAGATTAGTGGCAGGTGCAAGGGCTGGAGCCGAAGACGCCTGACTCCCTGTGCAGGGTCTCCCCGCTGCTCCCCCAGGCTGCCTGGGTTGGCTCTTGAAGTTTGAACTGAAATTGCTGATCACGTGTGGATCATCAGCTGTGTGCCGAGCACCGAGCTAAGCACCCTCTATAAACCAGTGTCGCTGTGTCCTTCAGCAGCCCGACAAGGTGGGTGCTGAGGTCCTCCTCGTGCTGCTGGGGAAACTGAGGCTCAGGAGAGGCCCCACAATCAGCATGGAGGAGCCTCAGCCCAGAGCTGGCACTGCCCGCACTGTCTTCCTCCTGCACCCCGGCTCCAGCCTGCACCCCGGCAACCCTAGGAGCTGGGTGGCAATTGCCCGGCCTCACACATGCAGTCACACTTCGGTTGTGCACGGCAACGGTTCTGCACACACACCTCCCCACTATATGCCCATCGGTCTGTCTCACACATGCACTCTCAGCAACTGGGACATACCTGCCCGTGCATGTCATAAGGGCACCCCTAGCACACATCCAAGGCGAAGAAGTCTGATGCACAACTGCTCCCACCTTTTCTCTGTCTTCACAGACGCACACTTGGGTCTGCGCCCCAGCCTAGACCTAGGACAGGGCAGAGTCGGTCCCGTCTCTCGCCTTTGCTGCCCCTGCCTGTCCACAGCTGCAGGGGTGCCCTATGGGTCTGTGTGTGTTTCTTCATCTGCCTTGGGCAGCCCCAGACCCACGTGGGAGCGGGTGGCTGACTTCCTAGCACCTTGCCAGCCTTCGCTTCTCCTGAAGGGCCCTGTGGTCTACTGCTGGGTTCACTGAGGCACAGAAAGGAGCAGGTACTGGCCCAAGGTCACATCTGATGAGTTGGCGCTAGAACTGTGCCTGGAACCGAGGCCTTCTGCCTCTCAGATCAGGACTTTAATGTTTTTGCTTATTTGGCTGCACCGCACACAGGATCTTCACTGCAGCATTTGGGATCTTTAGTTAAGTTGCAGTATGTGGGATCTAGTTCCCTGCCTAAGGATTGAACCCAGACCCCTTGTATTGGGAGCACACATTCTTAGCCACTGGACCACCAGGGGAGTCCCAGATCAAGACTTTAGATACTATTTTTCATTTTCAGCTGATCAGGAAGATTGCTCCAAGAACTTGGCCTTGCAATGGTGCAAGTCTTGGGGTGTGACCCAGATTTTTTATACTGCTGTTTTTCGGTCCCAGTCCTTTAGTTTGGTCTTTGTAAGAGGGGAAGTGGAGAGTTTATCCTGCCAGCCCTCGAGCCCTTCTTCTATCTCTCTCCCTTCCCCTTCCACTCCTTTGCTCCCTCCTTTCCACATTCTCCATGGGCGTCACTGGAGCATGTTGGATCTCTTATTGTCTACTACCCCATCCCAGCTCCAT